TTTGGAGCCCATAGTCTTTTTAAAAACCTTCTATCTTCCACAAATTGGGAATCTATATAAACTAAAAATGCTAATATAGCTTACAAAAGTTTCATCAGATATTTTAAAGCCACTTATTAAATTAAAAGATTTTAAAAAAGAAACTCTTCCAAAAGAAAAAGTCAAAGATCGTTTAAACTTTTATCAAAAAAAGGACTTTTGAAAATAAATCAAAATATAAATATTGCAACAATTATAAAAATTGCACAGTGGGAGGTAAAGTTTTATAAAGCTATTCTGCCTCATATGCAATTTTTATAATTTTTGGATTTTTTATATTTTTATTTGTTTTTGAAAGTTCTTTTCTTGATAAAAGTGTTAAGTTTAAAAAACCCCCAAAAAGATTTTTTTTTTTAAAAAAAAAAAAAAGTGTTTAGCCAGCTTTAATTAAAACTGGCTAAACACACTGTTTTAAACAAAAACAAAACAAAAAAAGGAGGGGGGGGAGGGATTCAAAGCTTAAATGAATAAATAATACAAAAAGCGTATTTCAATCGATTTACTAAATAAATTACACTAATTCGAATTTTACTATCTGTAATTATAACACATTTTATAACATAAAGGTTGTTTACAGACATGCACAGATTGTTTGTGATGTCCGCAGTCAATTTTGGTTGAAGCCCCAAACTTTGCTCTCATCACTATTGTTTTCTAAGCAATTAGAGTACAATCAATTGAGTATTATCTCTACAATTTTATAATTTTTATTCTTTGGAGCAGATTTAAAAAAAGAATAAGCGAGAGCATCTTTGTTGTCAGAGCTTGGATTTTGTAAAAGTTTATACAAAAATAAAATCTTATTTTCTCTTCCGATATTCTTCTTCTGATTTCTTCTTTTGATTTCTGATATTTCTTTTTTTATTTTCTGTAGAAATTATTTCAATTTGTTGTGAAAATTTTTGTAATATTGAAATTTAAATAAATAACTCACTCAACACATTACAGCAAGTTATCATATTTTTTATCTTGCTTGTTCTCTGTGATAACAAACACACAATTTTTTTTATATATCAACTAAATGTTTATAATGTTTATAATCTTGAAGTTATTTTTTTCAAGATTTTACTCCTAATCATAGAAGAAATATAAAAAAGTGTCAAGTAGGTTTATACTTTATGAAAATGTGGTGGTATGGCATCCTGTATTAACCTGTATTAACCTCTAAATTTTTTTTTAGTTTTTATTTAATATATTCAGTATATAGTTTACATTTTTATCTTTATAACTTTTTATTAGTGATTACTGTAGGGGAGAACCTTAATGAATGGGACAGTTTTCGTAAAATGCATTTTTTGAGGTTGATAAATTTGTTTAAAAATCACTTTGAAAATAGTTTGATAACTGTTAACTCTCGTACTATGATAAACAAAAACAAAAAAATTGATTCCGCATATGGGTATTGGTAAAAAGAGAGTTTAATAAGACCATGACATTTGTCCCATTCATTAAGAACTACTCATTGAATGGGACAAATAAAATTATTGAATGGGACAAATCTAAAAAATTAATAAAAGAAGAGAGGTCCTAAGTAACTTTCAAGCCAGTCAAGCAGTAAGGGTAGTTTCTACCATTAGGGAACCCGAAAAAGCTATAAATATGGCCGAATGTCTGCATATATTGACAAACCTAAAATAGTTTTATTAAAAAATATATGTATATTAAAATTAAATTAAAAACACGAATAATTGTTTTTAGTAAAACAAAAAATTTTATTAAAAATAAAATTATGTGTGACCATAACTAAGTTGCCGAAATATATTTTTCTACTTTTTTCATATCAGGCTGTTTGGACAAGTCCCATTCAATAATCAATACTTTGTCCCATTCAATAGGCTTCCCACTATATCCACAAATGACAGGACAGGTTAAAAACAGTAATACCTAAACAAAAATACTTTACAAATTTAAAAAGTAGAGACATTTGGGTGTTGAAAATTGGAGTTTCATTTTCCTTAACTTTAGTAATCGCTGCAAAATCAGACACAGAAAATTGTTTTTAAAAATTACTTATTGTTCTTCAAAACACAATAACATCCAATGCCATTACGTTTAGACCATAAAAGAAATAAAGATTTGGTCTGTTGAGTGGTTGTGTCAAACACTTATTACCACAGGAGTTTGGATAGCCAACCGTAGATGCTTCTATGCAAATTTGATTTTGTCCCATTCAATAATTGTCCCATTCATTAAGGTTCTCCCCTACTTTCGATCTCTAAAAATTGTACGTTCGTTTATAAAATGTTTACTTGCATAAAATGAGTGACTTTACTTGTAGAAATTTCGTGACTATATATTTTACTTGAGTAGAGTTTTTCATTATTATTAACGGAATTGTTTCATAATTAAGTAATTTTGGTAAAAGGATCTATTTAATTAACTTTTTATTGCTTTTTTTCGAGTATTGTATGTTAATAATTTCTCTAATTTCAAATATTTCGTGTTAATTAACTTCTACTGCTTTTTTCAAGTATTGTGAGCAATTTCAAATTTAAAAAATATTTTTTAAACATCAGCACCATAGTCCTTAAAGTTTAAAAGCTGAGTTTCGTTTTAAATTTCATAAAGGGTTATAAATTTGTTCAAATTCTCAGTTATTTTCGGTTGTTAAAAATTCATCCAAATCTTCAGTTTTAATAACTTAATACTCTTTTTTTTTTTAGTCATCTCAAAGATCGTTCTTCAGTTTTAATAAATTAACAGTTTTTTCTTCTTATAAATCCTCTCAAATTCTTGACAAGCAAAAGAAACCTAGATACTTAAATTGCTGTTTTTGACCAATGTGTTTCGGTCTGATAATTTTTATTTATCTATTATTTATACGCATACAAAAACATATATAAAATCCTCTTAAACTCTTGAATTGCGTGCTCAGTTTAAACATTTTTTTTAAAGCCAAATTGTTTGGTATATAGTATATTATTTTGGTCAAGGTATTTAAATATTCTTTTATATACTATTCTTTTTAATAATTTTTAAAAAGAACCAAAATTAGGCAATAGTTGTTAATGTTTGATAATGTTTATCGTCTATAGACGATAGTTGTTAATCGATTTTAATGTTTCGTCTTGTTTGTAAATTTTTTGTAATATGTATATATATATATATATATATATATATATATATATATATATATATATATATATATATATATATATATATATATATATATATATATATATATATATATGTGTGTGTGTGTGTGTGTGTGTGTGTGTGTGTGTGTTTGTGCGTGTGTGTGTGCGCGCGCGCGCGTGTGTGTGTGTGTGTGTATATATGTGTGTATTTTTATTATACAAAAGGTAAGTAAACTTGTTTTAGAGCATTTGGTATTTCAAAAACATTAAGCATTTGAAATTAACTCCCCCTAACTTCATGTTTTGTAACACAAAAAAATACAAAAAAAAGTAAAACATTAGAATTAATTGTGTCGTTAATTTAGAATAGTGTATGCATTTTTTATAATTTAGATGATTTATATTACACATAATAAATGCTGTAGCAAAAATATATAATAATTAAAATTATTTAATTTAACTATATATATATATATATATATATATATATATATATATATATATATATATATATATATATATATATATTAATTAAGTTTGTCTTCAACCAGTCTTTTTTTTCAGATTCGACCAACTCTAAGACAAGTTGACCCAAAAAGTAAAAATACAAGGTTAAGGTCAATTTTTTTTCAGACAAACAACTAACAAAAGACGTGAAGTCTTTTGTTTGCCAATTACCCTCATACACTCTGCCTTTCAAAATAGCCCAAAAGTCTTTGATTTGGTGACATTCCAGTAAAATATTTTGAAAAAAATGATGTTATGAGTCTCATAGCAGTTAGTCATGTTTTTGGCATAATGCGACAAGGCCAGGTCCGGCCAATACACATAATTACCATCGACATGATGAGGATTGATGAACACACTAATATTCCTTTAATACAATCATTTCGTTGATGGCTTTATTGACTGCAAGGCTGCTGGTGACCAAAAATGGCTTGGAAATACCTTTGTCAGAAGCGGTCAGCCAGACGAG